GGGAACTGGGTGGAGGGGATTTATGTTGGGAAAAAAGAGTAACTATTGTAATAATCTGAACAATAAAGATATAATTTAAAAAAATGTGAAAGACCTATATGTTGAAAATTACAAATCATTATTTAAAGAGACAGAAAAAACACACAACAAAATGGGAAAATACTCTGTGTTCATGGATTGGAAGAATCAACATAGTTAAAATGGCCATATTACCCAAATCAATATACTGAGTTAATGCAATCCCCATCAAAATCCCAATGTCATTTAAAAGAAATAGAATGAGAAATCATCAGACTTGTATGGAACCAGCAAAGACCCCAAATAACCAAAGCAATCCTGAGAAAAAAGAACGAAGCCAGAGGTATCACACTACCTGACTTCAGATTATACTACAGAGCTACGGTAATCAAAACAGCTTGGTATTGGCAGAGAAACAGACACACAGGTCAACAGAACAGAATAGAATAGAAAGCCCAGCTATAAAACCACATGTATACGGATAGATAATTTTTTGACAAAGGAGTTAGGAACACACATGGAATAAAGATAGTCCCTTCCATAAATGGTGCTGTGAAAACTGGAAAGCTTCATGCAAACAAATGAAACTGGATTACAGGTTGTCCCCATGTACAAAAGTTAATTTAAAATGGAGCAAAGGCTCAGACCCAAAACAGTAAGTAACATAGAAGAAAATATAGGTACCAAACTTATGGACCTGGGTCTTAGAGAACATTTTATGAACTTGACCCCAAAGCAAGGGAAGTAAAGGCAAAAATAAATGAATGGGACCATAGCAAACTAAAAAGCTCCTGCACAGCAAAAGAAACTGACAACAAAACGAAGAGGCAGCCAACTAGGTGGGAAATGATATTTGCAGAACGTAGCTCCGACAAAGGTTTAATTTCCAAAATGTATAAAGAATTCAATTTGGTGTAAAACTCAACACCAAACAAAAAGCAACCTAATCAACAAGTGGGTAGAGGACCTGAAAATACATCTCTCCCACGAATACGCATGAACAGCCAGTAGACATATGAAAAGATGTTCAACCTCACTGGCAATTAGGAAAATGCAAATCAAGACTACAGTAAGACACCACCTTGCCCCCGTTAGAATGGCCATTATCAACAGGACAAGCAATAACAAGTGTTGGAGAGGTTGTGGGAAAAAGGGAGCCATCATTCACTGCTGGTGGGAATGTAGACGGGTACAACCACTATGGAAAGCAGTCTGTCAGTTCCTCAAAAGATTAAGTCTAGAGCTACCATATGACCCAGCAATCCCTCTTCTGGGTATATACCCGGAAAACTCAAAATCATGTATTTGCAAAGATATACGCACCCATGTGTTCAATGCAGCATTATTCATAGTGGCCAAGACATGGAAACAACCGAAGTGCCCTATGATAGAGGACTGAGTAAAGAAGATGTACATAACGGAATACTACTCAGCCATAAGAAGGGATGAACTGGCGCCATTTGCAACAACATGGATGGACCTTGAGAACATGATGCTAAGTGAAATAAGTCCATCAGAAAAAGCTAAGAACTACATGATTTCACTCTCGTGTGGGATACAAAACTGAAACTCGTAAACACAAACAGCAGTGTGGTGATGTCCAGAGGGGAGGGTGGGGGGGAATGGGGTGGTCTTAATATAAGATAACAGGGGAAGATTTGACTTTGGGTGGTGGGCACACGGCACAATATACAGATCTTGCAACATAGAAACCCACACCTGAAACCTATATGTTCATGTTGACCAATGTCACCCCAATCAATTCAATAAATTTTTTTTAAAGGCAAAAAAGAGAGTCCACTCTGTTGCAAAGAAAGGAGGAGGCAGATGTACAGTGAACTCTGCGGTGTGACAGGCACATGCTAGGCACTTCACCTATTCCATCAGATTTAATTCTAGTAGTTATTATATAAGGGAGAGAGACGACAGCCCCTAGCTGTATTTGCCTTCTGAAACCATGTTAACATTTTTTAAATATTTATAGCAATTTTCTGCAATAGAAAAAGGATATTAACTATTTGCTGGCAATCCATAAAAGAACCAGTTACGTAAAGCAGGTTTCCTTTCTCTGCTGTCAAAGCCATTGAGTGTTATCGTTTTTCAGGTTTCACACACAATCTGCATTTGTGACAGTAGCATCAAAATTACACTCACTGTAATCACAATTTTGTGATAACGTTATGTTAGCTTTCTTTGATGGTGGTGATTACTGTCAGTACTCTGAATGACAGGACAGGCAGCCCCAAATTACTTTTTCATTGTTAGTCTTCAAATCGACCTAAGTGCTCTCAGTACAGGGATTTGCTGGTCCTTCAGAAGATGGTGTCCTAGAACAAAAAAGCCGCCTTCCTCTCATCCCGGATATCGGGAAGATGTTTTCAAAAGCAGGGTTCTGCTGATGTGTGCTGTAATTATGGTGAATGGTCATTCTTTAGTGGGGGGAAACATAAAATGGAATTATGTTTAGTATCGCTTTCCAGAGATATATCCTAAAAGCGGTGGTCGAGCCATGTCTGAAAAAGTCATGTAGTGACTTTTAGATCCAGCTTTTGTGATATGCTTAACGAGTGACATTTTGGTAACTAACTGCGGTCTGCTGATAAAATAAATATGATTGTACGTCATGTTGATCAGTTGCATTTTTCATCTCTTCCAGCCTGATGAAAGATTATTTTTTTAAGCCACCCATTAATCAGTTCAGCTTGAACTTCCTGGACCAGGAGCTAGAGCAAGCCTACAGGACCAGCTATCAAGAAGAGGTGCATGTTCCTTATAATTTTACTGAAGAAACATGTTGTCGTTACTGGACAGTTCCCAATTCGTTTTGTGCTTTGGAAATCTTCCTTGTTTTCCTGGGTGACAGGAAAAGGAAGGCTAATACTGATTTCCCACAATCTGCAAGCTCTGAATTGCATCTTTATGTGAATTTATCTACACAAGGGAGAAAACTCCAAATCTTTCTGTGCTCTTGAGTCTAGTGACCAAGGCTTGTCATTTCCCAGTCCCTCTCCTCTGCAGCTGGTGCACCCAGCATTAGTGCTCCCCTAGGACCTTGTTTCATGTCTATCCCAGCACCCAGCACAGAGCCAGGCCCTGCGTGAAGGCATGAGCCTCTCTTACTGTCACTTGACATGCCTGTATTTTCATCTGCTGTTGCTTCAGTCCCCACCTGTTACTTCCATCATGAGCCAGCTTTTACCCATCCTGAACCTGGGACCCAGACATTCAGTGCAAGCTCCCAGCACATGGCTTTTGTGCTACTGACTTTACAGACAGAATCAGTGACTTTACCAATCAGTAACTCACTTTTCAGGGTCAGTAGGTAAGGTGCCTGTGAGAACTTGCTGGTGTGCAGTCAGTTGCTGTGTGACCTTGGGAAAGTTCCTGAACTTCTCTTTCCTTAGTTTCCTCATTATTAAGCAGAGAAATTGTCGGGAGATGGCCCACCTAAAGCTCTTATCACCCTGAAACTGGTTGGGGGTAGGCAAATGTTTGGGTTTTCCCACCTAAGCTATACTCCATGACCATCTGTCACAGCATCTATTCATGTACCGCCACCTTTCTCTTACTCCAAACAGGTTATGAAGAATTCTCCCGTGAAGACTTTCGCCAGTGCCACCTTCAGCTCCCTCCTGGATGTGTTTCTGTCAACAACAGTGTTTCTGATTCTCTCCATCACCTGCTTCCTGAAGTACGGGGCTACCACCACGCCTCCCCAGCCAGTCACCCTGGTGGTCTTTGGGGTGGCCCTGCTCCTGGAGGTGCTGTCCCTCATGGTCTCCGTCAGGTAAAGGCTCACGTGCAGGGCGGTTCTCCAGCTTTTAGCCTCTGGCTCCCTCTGCTGGCTCCACAGTTTATGACTTAACAGTCCGCGGCACAGCTGACCAGCGGACTGAAGCGGGCTGCCTCTGCAGGCTCATTTCAGGTGAAGGGTCCTCTTCCCTTCCCTCCCCCAGCCCTACTTCACAGGTTTCTCCCTTGAAGACCCTGGCCCTGGGCACAAGTGGGCACTCTCCTTACCAGAGAGTCAGTGTCCTCTGCAGCCCTGATGCCGCCGGCCAGTCCTGTATCTTCCAAATCAAAGATTTAAAAAAAAGAGAAGGTGGGAAGATAGGGCATAAGAAAGGAAAGGAAAAGGACATGTACAGGGTGCAAATGATAGGAGGCTGCCAGCAGATGAGCAGGAGCCTCTCCTAGAGAAAAGAGCGAAACTATAACACCCTTAGGAGACATCATAGGTGTAAGTCTCTGTGAGCTTGGATCAAGCAATGGTTTCTTAGACTTCACACAAAAAGCACAAGCAACCAAAGAAAAAATAGTTGGACTTCACCAAAATTCAAAATTTTTAAGTTGAAAGAACACCATCTAAAAAGTCAGAGAGAACCTGCGGAATTGGAGAGACTATTTGCAGATCTTATCTATGACCAGGGTCTAATATCTAGAATGTAAACTCAATAATAAAAAGATAACCCATTTAAAAATGGACAGAGGGCCCTAACCGGTTTGGCTCAGTGGATAGAGCGTTGGCCTGCAGACACAAGGGTCCCAGGTTCAATTCCGATCAAGGGCATATACCTTGGTTGTGGGCACATCCCCAGTACGGAGTGTGCAGGAGGCAGCTGATCAATGTTTCTCTCTCATCGATGTTTCTAACTCTTTAGCCCTCTCCCTTTCTCTCTGTAAAAAATCAATAAAATATATTAAAAAATAATAAAAATAAAAATGGACAGAGGGTCTGAATAGACAACAGTGGCCCCTCAGAAGCTGGGCCCTCGGGACCTACCCAGCTTGATGTCAGGGTCCAGTTTAACACCGAGGAAGTCCACAGCTGCTCTGTACATTTCTGACTAGATGTGAATGTGGGGCATTCTGTTCACAAGCACCCAGACTGCCTGTGCCATCTGCCTCCTGGGCACTATGACACTGGGTCCTTGCACCACAACCATCTCCTCTGTTCAGCCCTGTCACTCCCAACAGGGCAGCCTGTCAGCCTAGTAGACTCCCAAGCTGGGGGTAAAACAGAAACAGGGAGAAGGGCCCTGACTATAAGTTTTTGCTCCTCTTCCCCAACATATCAGGACAGGAAGCAATAGCTTCAGATCTGGTCCTGAGTGAGTGCCCCCCTCCCTTCCACACTCGCTGTCATCCTGCTCCCCTCTGATGTCCCCGGAAGGGGCCATTTGCTGAGGACTGCTAGAGGCCACTCTCTCATCTCCTGGCCCTGGATGAGGTAACTCAGGTGTATCCTTGCTGTCTCCCCAAATTCCCTCCAGCTGAGTGGAGCTGTGTTACCAATAAGTGATTCCTCTATTTCACAGCCCTCCCTGTGGGCCTGCCCCTCTGGTCCTTGCTCTGCACCCCTCACTGAGCTGCCTGGGACCTAAGTCAGCTCTGCTTCTGGGGAACCCAAACTAAGTCATCCTCAGGCCCCTAGTTTGGTTTTTTCCTTTTTAAACTTAGATTTTTAGTTTTTTTAAAAAATACGTTTATTGATTTCAGAGAGGAAGGGAGAGGGAGAGAGAGATGGAAACATCAGTGATGAGACAGAATCATTGATTGGCCGCCTCCTGTACGCCCTGTACTGGGGATCGAGCCTTCAACCGGGGCATGTGCCCTGACCAGGAATCGAACCATGACCTAGCTCGATGCTCAACCACTGAGCCACACTAGCCAGGCTAACTTTAGTTTTCTTATATGATTCACATGTAATGAATCCACTTATTTCAGTCATCACCATATAATTTTACAGCTCTTCTATCTCCCCAAAGAAAACACATACCCATTTGCAGTTACTGTACTCCCCTCTATACCCCAGCTCCAGGTTCCCTTCTGGCACCGACCTACAGCTCGATACACTCTTGATCTCTCTGAGGCTAGCACTGTCTCCATACATTTTTTAAAAACCCTTTATACCCTGTTCCTTGGACCCAATTCTGCAGGATCAGGGCTAAGCCATATTTAGAGACTGCAGCGGGCTGCATGTCAGACAGACGCCAGACCTGGCTGTGCCCAATGCTGAGGTGCTGGGCCGGGTGGATGTGGCAGCCACTGTGCCCCTGAAAGATCTCTGGTGTGACTTTAAAAGTTCACTTTACTTGGGCCATCAAAGCCTGGGAGAGGTTCCGACCCAGAAGGACACATTTATATTTAGGATCCAAGGCTAGCAAGAACCTACACTGAGAAATATGCAGGTTCCCAGGGAGGCTGGTTCTGTGGCTGCTTCAGTGGCTGGCCCGGGCCGGGCACCTCATCTGGAAGGCTGTCTAGTCTCAGCTCAGGACTTGTCCTTCCAGACATTTGTGCTGTACCTTCGACAGGCAAGCGAACCGGGGTCTTGTCCTTGGAATTCTGCAGCCTTGAGACCTTTGTGGAGGGCTTCCCAGGCTGTCTTCCGTGGCTGGGGCTCAGCTCCCTCTGTCTCCTTGTAGGGCTTATGTATTCTGTCTTTGCGCATATTTGTGGTTATCCTTGGAAATATTCCAAGGATTCCATTAACCTTTTAAGTCTCAGGAGGCCAGAATAGTCCTGGACTTAAAAGGGTCAGATGGGCCCTAACTGGTTTGGCTCAGTGGATAAAGCATTGGGCTGAAGGGTCCCGGGTTCAATTCTGATCAAGGGCACATGCCCAGGTTGTGGGCTCGATCCCCAGAGGGGGGCGTGCAGGAGGCAGCCGATCAATGATTCTTTCTAATCATTGATGTTTCTATTCTCTCTCCCTCTCCCTTCCTCTCTGAAATCAATAAAAAAAAATATTTTTTAAAAAAGGGTGGTCAGATGGGACCTGGCTCTATGTGGAGATAGCTGAAATTTGGGGGTTCCTCATGGAGGCTGAACATAGTGCTATAGGTGTCGATGTCTGAAGGTGCAGGTGCCTGGGTGCATGTGAGAAGTCCTGATGGGTCTTTGTGCACTCAAAGTTCAGCAGCGGCTCCTGGCCCCTTCACAAGCGAGGACAGTGGGCCTGTCCCCCCTTCACCTTCCCCAGGGGCTGGCTTCAGAGAGGGGCTGTGTGTGGGGGTCTCCCTTCTGAGGCAGAGCCCCACGGCCCTCTCTTCCATCTCCCACTGCTGGAGTCCAGGCGCTCCTGACTCTAAGATCCCTCACTTAACCAAGGCCATTCTTAACTTCAGGACCACAGTTCTCAGCCCCACATACTCAGCTCCCTTCCTTATGAAAAATATTTTGTGATGTTCACATCACTCTCCTGAAATATAGCCCACCTGTACACACAACTTCTAAAAGAATCAGTGAAATGCTGTCACTCCAATATGAAGGAGAAACAACAAAAAAGCCATTTAAAATGAAATATGTAGTGCTTCACCTCAAATATGCGAGGGCACCACCATCTGGAGTTCTAACAGAATTGTCAGCTGTCTGCCCTCCTGTGCACAATCCCTGCCAATGTGGCAGCTCCAAATGTGGATCGTTGGGGGCGTGCAGGTTTGGTGGCACAAGCACCATGGGCTGAGTTGCAGCCTGAGATTTCTGAAACGTTGAACGACTCTTGGTGATGTCCCAGACCAAACACAGGGTAACCTTGTTTGGTTTACACACTAGTTCATTCCCAGAAAAGTGTATGTGAACAACTCGCAGAAAACACTTTCTGTTTGTAAACAAATGCAGCTAGGCTGTAAGGCTGAGGTCCTTGTCAGCAGGCTTTTCATTCCACATGTGTCCGGGGGCGTGTGGCAGTCGTGTGGGGTGCAGGGCAGAGCTTCACTGCACGTTGCAGAATGCTTCTCTAGATGTCAGTAGTACCCCTCAATCATTGGGGCAACCAATGGGGCCCCACAAAATTCCCTAACAGCCCCTGAACCACCCACTCGAGACCTCCTGCCCTAGAAGCAGATGACAGTGAGGTGGGCACTTCCACAGGAACTGTTAATGTCTGTGTGCCCAGTTCTCACCTGCTCTGTTAGCCCCACAGAGGCTGGCTTGGCTCTTTATCAGCACATCTGTCTGAAGGCATCAAGTGAATCGGGTGTGCTGAGCCGAGTACGGCCAGTGTACTGGCCCTCTGCCACGCTGAGGGGTGTGGGGGCTCTGCCTGTGGTTCACGCAGCGGCACCAGCGTGGGTGAGAGGGGGCAGCGGTGCTGGCTGTGGATCCTCCGTCCCCTCTTCTCTGGCAGGCCTGCCCACCCACAGACACCCTGTCTCCTTTCTCTCCTCCCTGTTACAGGATGGTGTTTTTCCTGGAGGATGCGATGGCTTGTACCAAGCGCCTGCTGGAGTGGATAGCTGGCTGGCTCCCACGCCATTTCATTGGGGCCATCCTGGTGTCACTTCCCGCTCTCGCAGTCTATTCACACATCACGTCCGAATTTGAGACAAACATACATGTAAGTAAAGACTTGGCAATTTTATTTCTGTGCTCTCTGGACTCCTTCATCACTTAAAAAAAAAAAAAGCCTAATGACTTGGGACACCAATTTAATATAGTCCCTTAAAGAAGTACAAACTCTGTTGTTCTGTGAGCTGGTCTTTTGAAAAGACTTGCCTGGGACGGAGGAGCAGGCAGGAAGGTGATCACGAAGCCTGCCCAGATGCTCAAGCCTGGCATTGGCAACACTCACGAATGCTGGATAAGATGCTGCCCTGCCCTGCGGGGAGTGCCCGGTAGATACGTGTCCTGTCCGCCAAGGTCCAAATCTGTTATTTTTTAAAATATGTTTTTACAACATAAAGAAACATTGTAAGCAATACAAGATCGTGTGGTAATGTGCTGGTCTGCAGGACTGGCGCAGGTAATTGACTGATCTGATCTGCTGCTGGTGATCAGGGCAAGCGAGAGCTTCTGAATTAAACCCCATGAAGAATGAATTAATGCTCTTGTGGAAGATTATATTTGGGGTGAAAGTGACTGTAACATGAACTACCAGGTGGGCTGACTGCGTTTGATGCTTTAACACTAAATTACATTTCCACTGATAGGCAGCAGGTACCTGAAGGAAAGGCTTTTTGAAGGTAACTGATTACAGGGTAATTCTCAGAGGGTGTGGCCCACTTTCCCTTTTCTCCAAAGTGCAATTTCCAACTATCTGGAGAGTTTTTATTTTCATGCAAACATTTTTAAAAATATTTTTTTATTGATTTCAGAGAGAAATGGACAGGGAAGAGAGAGACAGAAACATCAATGATGAGAGAGAATCATTGACCGGCTGCCTCCTACTGGGGATTGAGCCCACAGCCTAGGCAAGTGCCCTGATCGAGAATCGAACTATGACCTCCTGGTTCATAGGTCGGCGCTCAATCCCTGGGCCACACCAGCCGGGCTGGAGGTGAACTTTAGGGCCTCCATGAACTTGTACCCTGAAGCTTTCTATAATTAACCTAATGATTCATGCTCTGTCCCTAAAACCGCTGGATATTTTACGATAACTTCAATATCAAAGACACAGATAAATGAGCAAATCATGTGATCTTGTGGTGGTCAGGTGGTCAGTGGGCCATGAGGTGAGGAGGTGGATGGATTCCTAACTGAGCGCCTGCCCCTCGTTGCAGTTCACCGTGTTCATGGACTCAGCCATCCTCATCGCCGTCGTGCACTACTGTAACTTCTGCCAGTTCAGCTCCTGGATGCGGTCCTCTTTAGCCACTGTCGTCGGGGCTGGGCCCCTGTTTCTGCTCTACATCTCCCTGTGCCCAGACAGGTACGTGTGCCACCATGGCTCGTGTCTGGCACTCTCGATGGCAGGGCCACTTTTCCCAGCGTCATTGATGTCTCTCTCACCTCAGTTTCACATCAGCACTAACACCGTCAGCTCTAACAGATAGTCACTGTCACAGCGTGAGATACCGTTCAACACGCATAATGTCAGCAAGTGGCGAAATGCCCAAAAAGTAATGTGCAAAAGAAAGAGAAAGAAAATAAATTTAATAATATAATGTGTTTGCATTTAGACACTCCTGGCTGACTACCCCCGGGAGAGAGAATGTAGTAGTCACATGTTTGAACTTATTTATAATGAAGTTTGAATTTAGGAAGGTCAGACCAGGTGCTGTTTCATACAAGACAAATGAAGGAATAAAGGTACAGGTGGACACAAAAATGAAGAGAGAAAGCGGGTTCTAACTTAATTTGAAGTAGGGTTAATGTTCCAAGACAGATTGCAGACTGCTGAAGGAGAGGAAATGATGAGGTATGACTGTGCAAGTGACCTGAGCATTATTCATAAATATTGTGTCAAAACAGCTCCTCACACTATTGCATGAAGCATTAGAGTCATCACGAACCACTGTAAATATGTTCTTATTTGATATCCCTCCACATATCGAAGAATATATTGAGTCCCTGGTACTCAAATGGCCTTCAAAACTATATCACTAGTAAGTGCTGAGGATAGAGTAGGCGGGGTGGGAAAAGAAACAGGAGCTATGTGAGAGATCCCTGGGGACAGGATCAGCTCTTAGTGCTGTACTGCAAAAATAAAAATAGGATGGGTTCTGGCTGGTGTGTTAAGTGGTTAGAGCCTTGGGCCCAGGGGACATGGGGGAGGCTTACTAATGGATGTGTCTCTCACACATTGATGTTCCTCTCTCTCAACCCCACTCCCAAAAACCCTCCCTTCCACTCTCTCTAAAAATCAATGGTAAAAATATCCTCGGGTGAGGATTAACAACAACAAAAAATACATTGGATGGCAATATATGTGCTGTATTTAAAATACCCTATATTAATGAAATCCTTTTCACATGTTCTAATAATTGAATAATGTTTGGTTCTTAGTTTGTTACAATGAGTTTAAAATTGCCTGTTGAATATTTGCAACTGGTTTTGTGGCTTTTAATCATTTTCAAATTAAGATGTAGTTGAAAATACAATGGTACTTTGGATAGCAGGATGCACACAAGTGAGGAATTTATTCAAAAATTGCATGATAAGGTCTTGAACCCAATAAGCTTCCTTTTCTGTAACATACTTCTAAATTGTTGACTTTTTGTGTAACTACTTATAAAAACAGTTTACTATCAGCATGCATGGAAGAACCACTTATTTACAGTTACACTCGGTTTAGGCTAGCAGGATATTTCAGTTGCATGAAACATTTCTTCATTGTACTTTGTAGGATATCTAATATTCATGGCTCCCCAGATTATTATGATAACCAGAGAGACCCCCAGCATTTCCAAAATGCCCCCTAGAAATGGTATGATTGCTGTGAACCATTGCTTTAGTAAGTTCAACAGTAGGTTATCCAGCCCTCGCCGGGTTGCTCAGTAGTTAGAGCGTTGGCCCATGGACTGAAGAATCGCAGGTTCAATTCCAGTCGAGGGCATGTACCTCGGTTGCAGGCTCAATTCCCAACCTGGGTTGGGGTGCACGTAGGAGGCAACCAATTGATGTGTCTATCTCACATCAATGTTTCTCTCTCTTCCTCCCTTTCACTTTCTCTAAAAATCAATGGAAAAAATTTCCTCAGGTGAGGATTAGCAGGGAAAAAAAGGTAGGTTTTATCCAGTTTGTCGCGATATCTAATGAAATCGCCATAGTGTATCTTTGGGTAAAACCTAAGCGGTGGTTAGTAATGGACAGAGTAAGTGTCCTTCCTCAATTTACTTTAATCACAACATGAAGGATACTCAAGTTCTGTGCAAATTAAGATGAACGGGAATATAGAGTAGAACTGTCATTCAGTGTCTGAAAGGAAACTGTAATGAGTAGTTAATTACTTTAAGCAAAACAAAGCCTACATCTTCTTTTCTGAAGTTGCGGCCATCTGGAATTATGGTCATTATGAAGCTCTTAAGAGCCTGAAATTCAGCAAACTGCCTTTTATCCTTTTAGATCCCTCACAAACCACCTCGTCAGTTATTTACACTGTCATTCAGTCACTGGTGTGCGGCTTTTCCACTTGGGTCCAGAGAGCCATTGTAATGGGGACCCCTCATCACCTCTTTGCCCAGAATTTAAAGAACAGATCTTGGGTATGGCTGGCAATTGAATCTCCCCTTGACCCAGTACTTCTCCACACACACAAGATCACTGAGCCCATTTAGCCATTGTCACTGCTAAGTCTTTCCAGGGCAGGAAATATATGGGATGGTAAACAAAAATATAAACTCATCTCCCATAAAGGGGCGGGGACTCTGAGAACTGTGGCCAGCTTTTCGGGGACACGGACACGTGGATACAGTGATGTCACAGTCATGTCTGGACAGTGTGAGACGAGGACATGAAGTCTTATAATTCAAACCTGTGATGTAGCTCTTGCTTTTCTTTCCTTTTCTGTAAAGTCATTTAACACCTCACGTAATTATGAAAACCACTCGTGAGCCCTCACCTGGCCCTTACTGCCCAGGAGAGTTGCTCACAGATGCTGTGCCATGTCCTCCTTTGCAATGAGCCGGGCTCCCTGGATGGGGGAGTTTGCAGTTGATTTCAGGACTGGGTGCGTTCTGGGTGTAACACAATTCCAAAAGACGTTGCTAAGAATGTGGGGAGATTAAGAGCTGCATGTGTGTACCTTCCCTAACCAAAAGAGCGTTCTTTAAGTATGAATGGTTTCAGTGCAATAGCAAAGTCTGGCTTCTCCCTAAGATGTAATCTGCCAACACCTCTAGCAATTCCTTTCAAAATTGATCCTTTGTCAGTAGACATTGATTTTTGAACATGATTGAAGTTTCTATTCTATAGACACCATGATTAAATCCTAATTATAAAATAATAGTGGTCTGGTGCACAAATTCATGCACATTGAAAGGAAATTAATTAGAAGAAATGTTTTAATATTGCTATTCACCCCTTCTTTATAATAGAAATGTCAACCAAATTCACAATCAATAATGACAGATCAAAACACACGTGTGTGGTTGGCGCCAACGAGAGCTTTATATGTATCACTCATGCACGAGTCAACTTAGCCTTTTATAGATATAGAATGAACTTGCTTAATTAGACCTGCTTTTTTAAAAAAATATATTTTATTGATTTTAGAGAGGAAAGGAGAGGGGGAGAGAGAAACATCAATAATGAGAGAGAATCATTGATTGGCTGCCTCCTGCACGACCCCCACTGGGGATATTGAGCCCGCAACCCAGGCATGTGACTTGGCCGGACTTGAACCCAGGACCCTTTAGTCCCCAGGCTGACACTCTATCCATTGAGCCAAACCGACTAGGGCAGTACTGCAATTCTTAACATTTCTTCTCTCATCATGTTTTGCTATTCCTACTTTGAAATATATAAATGTAATTGGAAGGTATGGGAAGCTAATAATTATTATTTTTAATAATCACCAGAGGATGAGGGTATTTATTCCATTGATTTTTTTTTTAGAGAGAGTGAAAGGGAGGTGGGGAATGGGGGAGGG